TTATTTCGTTGGTCGATACTACAGAAATTAACGCAGCAATGATCGTGGGCTATGCTTGCTTGTAATCTTCACTCAAAACACTGTAATGAAGCACAGCCGTATACCTCATGCCCGTCCAGCCTCGAATTGGTGATCCAGCCTTCTTCTACACCCCTAAAGAGGTGAAGGTCAGATAACGGAGATATAATGTAGCAGCAATTGTTGAAAGGCCTCATCTCTATATTCTTAGGAGATGTGGATCAAAAGAGGTTGAGCAGCTTGCATATATTGAGAACAGACAAGAGTGCCTTGATTGCCTTCCTTACCAAGTAGGAAACCAATGATGGTGTTAAAGTGAATGATGTAATGCGGTTCTTCTATGGAGATGGCCCGGAGCAGCATTTTGAGAGTGGAGAGCAGAGGGGTGGAAATGCTGGTTGAAGTGGATGTAGGGGAGATTCACAAAGGTATCTTGACCTTACATACAGTTTTTGACGCCCCCAATTGTCTTCAGCAGATTGGCAAAACATAGTGCAGAAAAAGAAAAAAGACCCTTCAAAGACATGCCAGTTGCTGAGCTGCAAAGGGAATGTAGAGCATGGGGATTGTGCAATGAAGGCTACAAGAAGGATCTGCAGATGATCCTAAAAGAGCATCTTCAGTTGTTGGTATACAGAGAGTACCAGCAATGCTTATCATGGATCAAGGAAGAAGTATAAAGGATCTCCATTTAGGTATGTAATTACCTCAAATATTTACTGTACTAGCATAACACAAAGTTATTATAAATTTATCTTTTACCATAAAGGAGACTTTCTTTCCTGACTGTATGTTAAGTTCATGGACTAGCAGCTCTATGGATGGTTATATGCAAATTGCACAGTTACCGGTAATACTTTTATGTGCATTTCATCATTAAGAAGAAATCTCATCTTCTGCAAAGCATCATGGGTATTTTGTATAATTTTGTACTCTTAGGGACAATAACAACTTTATAATTGAACTGACAAGTATCAAATGATATCAATTTTAAAAAGCAAAATTAATTGGTTGTACTATACATGTAAAAGCAACACTTAACAATAGCAGTTTAAAAACTTCTATATTTCTCCTAAGGATATAACTACAGTGTACATGTATTTTACAGTCCAGGGGCACCGTGTGATTTTGCAAGAACAGGCATTGTTTGGCACTGAATGAAAAAAACGCGTCTTTGAAAATTTCATCTACATTTTATCAGTTCAATTATATTTTTTTACTTTTGAGAAGATACATGGGGAAGATATGGGATAGCAGTTTTCATACAATAGCGCTAATGGCTTTTTATTACGTTATCAGGTGGGTTAACAGGCAAGGAATTAGGTAACAATAGGCCACTTCTACTTTTACTTCCGAGTTCTCGCGGTTCAGTAATCTGGTATCAAAATTACGGCGCGAGGACGAGGCTAGGCTCATAGGTGTTTAGACTGAAGTGCCGTGGTGATGAAAATGAGAGAGAATTCCCGTTCGGCGTTCGCATGCAGCCTGACCAAGCTAGGCCTTTGTTTTGGTTTTGGTTCGCAGACGACGAAATTTGTGGTGATTTCACGTTGTTGTTTTGCATAGGACGGCTAAGAAATGTACAAAGTTTTAAAACGCACGTGCTAAGCTGTTGTTCTGCCAATTAGATCTGTTGTTTTTTGTTGTTGTTGTTGTTGTCGTTGTCGTTGTATTTTTTTTAACCAAGGACTTCTTTCCGCTTTTGATTTTTCCAGGAGCAAAGATCTTTTCAAAATCAAAGAGCTTCCACGCGTGAATTTTGTAAAGTGATTGATGTAAGAAAAATATGGAAATAACGTCAAAAAACGAGCCCCGTCATGAGCGGTTGCCGCGAAAATTCCCCTAGGGATTCGTTCAGGTCCGAGATTATGACACCTTCCTGATTTATCAACTTTTATTTGAAAATACGTTTTTCGAAATAAATCGGGTGCTTTTTAAGATTTCATAATTTTTTTAATGGAAACTTTAAGTTGAATGTTTCAATTCGGTTCAATCAAATAAAAGAAAAATCGATTTAAAATTCTTTCCTACCTCTGGAGATGGGAAAGAACTTTAAATTATATTTTTATCGTAAACTGAAGTTAGTAAGCTTTCTTATGATGAATAGTTGGCTGGGATTTTTTAATGAGACTAGCGCGCGTACGAATTTTTTTCCCGAAAGAAAAAACCCCAAGACGAACTGCTTACGGTATTGATCGAGTCAAAATTTTTTTTCACTGTTTATATGCCGGAAAATTGCAACCCTCCACGAACATTTCTCCATATTTCACTGTCTCTAGCGAAGAGGTTTTCTTTCAGCGACCTAATTAAACTCACTCCAGTCTATCTGTGCGCACGATCCTAAACAGTCGTCGATAAAAGCGTTTTTATATGCCGTACAAGGTTTGATGGCAAGGAAATATGAAGATTTGAGCTTACTAAAGCGATTATTTTAGCTGAAGTGCACGGTGCGACTTACCCTCGACTTCGGAAAAATCGATCAAGCAAGCCACGACAAACGAAATGGAAATCCTCGAAGTATCCGCCAAGATTGGTCACCTCTGATAAATGATTGTGCGAATTACCTCCTAAAGAGATTTTATCTTCGTTAGAAGCTTGTTTCAACCCATTTCGATAGCGAGTTCAGTAAAACTAGAGCGATAGTCTTAGTCTTATTGACATCTATTCGCTTTTTCGCGGAAAACTATGACGTAACATTTCATCACTGGTCACTTCGATCAAAGACTGGTGAAACATCACGGGGAGAAACAATGAACAGTGACTTGCATGATCCCGTGGAAGGCAGACTCAGGCGAGATTCTAACTTCGCCCTCAGGGGTTCCTCGGGCAGTTTTAAAGATGGCGGGTGGTTGACAGAGCGGCCGTCGACTTGGAAAACTCCAGTGGATTCAGGTGTATCATATAGCGCACGATCTTTAAATATCATTTGACGAGTTTTCAGGTGCAACGGACCAACAAGGACTTCTGAAAACTATCAGTTGAAACTCTTCAGTTGAGTTCCACCGGACTTTTCAGAGTGATCATAGATTACCAGGTACAAAGGGTCATACACGTGACGTTTTATCGATGTCTTGATAAACTGTTAGCCTCATGAATTATTAATGAGTTTTTGAAGGAACAGAAAAATCACCCCACAATAGCTGCTCGTCATTTACACTGAATGTATTTTGATCTATCACGGTTCTCTTTCACTCACATTTTTGCATAACAATGTACCGTTGCAAACAAATTTTCTTGACAAATCATGAACATTGACTTGCATGGTCCCGTGGAAGACAGACTCAGCCGAGATTCCAACTTCGTCCCTTTCTCGGGCAGTTTTAAAGACGGCGGGTGGTCGACAGACCGGCCGTCGACTTGGAAACTCTAGTGGATTCAGGTGTATCATACCGCGCACGATCTTTGAGTATAATTTTACGAGTTTTTAGGTCCAACAGACCAACAAGGACTTCTAAAAACTATTCTTTTAAGATTAATACTTTATTTTTTCACCAGGCAAAATTAATTCATCAAGAACTCTATAATGAAGTTTACTGAGCGCACCATGTATAGTAGCTACACAATAATCAGAAACTAATCAGTGAATAATTATTCAAATAATTGAAGTCCCGGGTTTGAGTCTTTCTACTACAAGAATTAAATAGCCCAACTTGGCAATAAGTCCTAATCACTAAATGTCTGCTTGTCTGTGTGTAAATAACAAAAGGAAAAAACAGTCACTCATGGCTATTTCAGAAAATGATCCACGCATGTGAGCTGGGGTTGTAGGAAGAACTGGGGCGAAAAAACGCCCGAGAGATCTAAAGAACGGAAGTCTATTGCTGACCCCCCCGGCTCAGTACCCTTCATGCTCCTAGTCTGATTTTCAGAAGAACAGTCAATCCATTAATTCATATAACCGTTCTAGAGGTGGAAAACGTAAAAAATAAGTAGAAAACAATTTATGCGTCCGTCTCGATGATGCCTTTAAATTCAAAATCTTGCGGAAACGTAGAGCTCTAAATTATAGGGAAACAATCAACAATCAGTTAACTTTTACAAACACTATCTAACGAAAATTGACGACGGGCATGGGAGTCGAAACAAACCTATCTTACACTTAACTGTCTCTACGTATTTAAGTGGATTTCGCAGGTCGCCATTGTAAATAACTTAAATTCCAAAACTAGCTCCTCAAATATCCACTAAATTAATTAAAATTAACGTAAATTGTCTCTAAAATAACGAAACAAATTACTTTGACAAATATTTTCTTAAGTACTTTGAAACAATTCTAGGAGCGACCCAAAGTAAGCGGGCTTGTAAGATGTTTATCAAAATGCCTAAGCATGACTTATTCTTGCACAAAATATCATTCAAAATTGATTTCCTAATGAAAATGTCAATAAGTATAATAACAATACTAATTTAAACAACCCATTGAATTAGACACCCAATTTCCAAGTTTACAATACTAGAGGTTCCGAAGATCTCCGGAGAATAACGAACATCACGCTACACATTTAAAACTTCCTCTAAAGAAAGTTAAAAAAATATCATTTCTGTAGATACTGCTAACCTACTTTACATAAATAAGTTTAACTCAAAGTTAAATTATGCGGCGCATTTGAACAACGCTACCGTTCTTTAGGAATTTACAAGAAACTACTAAAATGCGCCCAAAACCTGAGACGAGCATCGCTCCTCAGTCCCCTATCTGTAGTAACTTCTTCTCCGCCACAAAGTCTTTTCATACTCAATTATATCTTGTTAGTATGCTTCTCAGAGACAAAGTATTAACATGCCTCTTTTACACAGAACCTTCTCCAATATTGAGACCAAAAGACTTGATCTTAAGAAAACGATTATTGAAACAAAAAAGATGACGGTTAACATTGTTTGTAAAATATTAAGAAAAATACAACTCAAATTATTTACGACTGAAAGCATCAATATTTCCAGGCGCTTATTAAGGTACGGCATGCATTTCAAACAAGCCAATTTCTTAAATTCATCATTACAATTTCACGGCTAACAAAAGCACCAGGCAAAATGAAACTTTCCGGGTTACAACCAAAAAAGTGCTCATTTCAACGCCGGCGAAAGTTTCCAGTGATATTTAAAATCCAGTGGTTGTAATTCTTAGCCAACAAACTGGAGAAGAATCCATTCTACTAAAAAGGAAAATTCACAAATGATCTACCTTATATAGAAAGATAGGTAAACAAAATAAATATCTAAATGTTTCCCAACGGTTAGAACCTTAGACTTAGTGCCGGTCCTCGTCATCGAAAGTCACAACAGTTTCCGAACTGGGTGTCAGTTGTGACGTATCGATCACATGGTCATTCTGAGTCGCACCGTAAGTCTTCCGCCTGGTGAGCTGGGTAGGAGAAACGTTGTCACTTCCACTACCAGTGGCCTTCATTTCACGCGTTGTTTGAAGGACTGGCGGAAGATAAGCTTCCTGTAACGCAACAATGGACATGGTGAATGATATGATGTCACGCAACACTTGATTCCTTAGCTAGTGCAATGACACATCAACGGTCATGGACCCCCCTGATTTGAAGCAGCCTTCAGACCTCCACGGTCTGGCTTGAAAATCTCCCTTCTAAGTGATTTCAATTTCTTTGTAAATTAGTCAGGAGAACTTGGCGTTTTATCAGGTTATTAAGTCTCTCCATTCTTATCAACTGTTTGCTGGATAATTCGGTTTTATCAACTGAGCTGATGATGTAAATTGGCCTCCGTAGAGAGTTTCTAAAGCTGACGCTTCGGGTGTTAGCCCTTCGTCAGTCTTTCGGTTTAACGGAGGCCTTCCATTCATTAAACAAAAGAAAAAAACACTCACACACACAAACACACACCAACAAACAAAAACAGCGGAACTTACAGGAATATAAACATCAGCTCCATTGAGTTCCGCATCTGTCGAGAGGTATTCCTGAGAAAAAGAAGAAAAACAAAACGTAAATATCAACAACAACAACAACAACAACGTTCTATCAACTAAATACGGTCTGACAACTACCTTGTGAGGTCCAAATTTCTTGAACATTCCAAAGCATACTCGAGCTAAGAGAAGCAGAACTGTGATACACACCACGACCAAGGTGAAAACGGTCTGGGGATCATTGATACCTGAAGAGAGAGAGAATAAGTGGTAAAAACTGTATTGAAAAAATTGTTTCGGGTTTGTGTTTGTGGACGTATGAACGCAGGCTCAGTAACGAGGTTAAACATGAAGCTTGAAGAAAAGGTAAAAAAAAAGTTGACTCTCTTGCCGTCTGGCTTTAAGCATTGTGTCTTCAGCTATGAACAAGAGATTTTTTTGAAAACTGTTTTTTCCAGATTGATGTGAAACATTTAGATTGTGTGCTGGTGATTTCTGTTTAAACAGGAGACCGCACTTGCTCTCGGTTTACCGGCGTAATAACCCGCGCGGAATGTTGGGAAAACACTCAAAGGAGACATAGTGACCTAAGTTACAACCTGCCTAACCCTTAACACCTTAAGATAAGTATGCATATTCTCCATACTGTTCTCTATACATTAACTAAGATGTTGAAAAGGAGAATTTGATTAACAATCAAGGGCTTCTTCAGTTGGTGATCATTTGTTTTATTCTCCAAACCCTGATGTGTGATTCAAAAGTGATACTCTAAGGAGTAATTAGATACAAGTTACCCTTAGGGTTAACTTCTAAAGTTAAAAGCCAAACTACTTGTATCGTGATAATGTTCTTTTTCCCAATGAAAAATACTGTGAATCTCAAATAGCCTCTCTCCGCCCGCATGATTCACATTTTCTTTGAGAAAAAGCAGTCCATAACAGTTTGCTTTTAATCGTATTAGCTCCAATTAATGGTTTTCAAATAAATCTTCGTCATATTGAAGATATCTTCCTGCCATTTCCAATTTTGCCCCAAAGACTGCTACCGACATTACGCTCGAAATCAAATACACAAAGACGTTTAGTCGCTTAAAGTGGTTTCTCAACACAAAAGGTACGATTGAAACAAAGAAGTTTTGTTTAATATAACTTTTTGCAATATCTCTTGCAAATTAGATCAAATATTTCACCTTAATGACCACTACTTCGCTCAACTATGCGCTTTATGAGGGGTGAAATTTTAAAAAATAAAATTATATTTCCAGGTCTGATTACCCGAATTTCTGCCGAAGAAACGCCAAGCTAATTTAAGGAATATGGCTAGAATCTTTAACCATCGACGATCTTTAACAAGCTTTCAGTATAAAGGTTTTTGAAATACGACAAACGAGTAAATTTTATATTTGACATAATTTTAAAAGTTTTCCTATCAGTGATACAGAGGATTACAGGAACACTTCAGAAATTCAAAGAAAAGATATCGTTTTCACGGCCAAAGGCGGACGTTTGATCGCAAGTTTTCATAGGCAAATGCGTACTTGCAACGTGTAAAGATATTTATCTCGAAAGAAAAATTAAAACCACAGATAGCTATGGACCCAAGTCGAATCTTCTAGAGCCTTTGCCCTAACTTTTACCGTAGATACTTACTTCCAAAGTTTTCCGAAAGCAGACGAAATTGTCCCATATCCCAATCCATCCAAGTAACCCACACCGAAAAACTACTCCTTAGTTATACAGCGCAGTCATGTTATCTCGGCTTGCAAGTTTGTAGCATATAAAACTGCCAACTCACCAATTTTTAAAACAATTGCTTCGTGTAACGAGAAATGATCGCGGGCGATCGCCTTATGCAAAATCAAACACGTTAGACGAAGAAGTTTTCCGAAGCAGTGGGGGTTTCTAGGGAAACCGTATTCGGTAGGGGTAGTGTAGGGAATTTTTCACGCAGGTTTTGATGCGTGTGTCACCAAGGAAACTAGGGAATTAATACAGTTTCGCGAGACATTGATAGGTTTCCATGCAAACCGTATACAATGGGAAGGTATGAGAATTTCGTTATAAAGGTTAGGGAATGATGTACACCAAAACTGTTTGATTAAAACTTGATCACATTATTGTAGTTTGGTTTCCTCCACAAATTTGACGGATTCGAGTTAGATATTTTCAAAATAGGGATTTCCGTGAATCAAAGTTGTCTTCGAAAGGCAAAACACGAGGTTAAAATATTGTATAACATTATTTTCTGAAAAATTCTTCTAAATATCATTCGATGTCTATCGACATTGAACTGATTAAATAATTTGTCAGCCAGTAGCGAATTACCACAACAGTTGTAATAATGAATGGAACTAGCCGCGAACTAGCCGCGAACTAGCGGCGAACTCGCCGCAAAAAAGTTACTTTGGTGGGTTCAGAAAGGCACTGTTTTGCTCAAACCAAAACACGATTACCTTGTGGACTTGACACCACTGATAATTTAATAGTTACATCTAAGGAATAGTATCACGGTTGCTCAATTATCAGTCTATTCTACTTATTTCCTGATATTTTCAACTCTTTAAATTTAAAAACTACCAACATCTTGATCTTCAAGGTAAATGACGCAAGCAAAAAAGAGGCCAGGAAGCTGGGCCCCAAGGTTCCAACTCAGGCCTTTTGATTTTAAGTCCAGCGAGTCGACTCTTAACTCACGGGGTCGAAGAGCGTTTTTCGAATGTCGAAAACCAAAACCAACGAAATCAAAAAAGTCAATTGCAACAAAATTAAAATATCACAAGGAGCGAGGAACGAGAATTCAAGGTAAAAACAAGTAAACTTCCTAAAGCGCGGGAAAGCAGGGTGAACAAGTCGCGGTTGGTTTTACTCCTGCATCTGATTGGTTGAAAGGCTGGCGCAATCACAGAGTGAAGTGATAAATTTCGCAATGCCGGATCACTTTCGACACTCATTTGAAAATTGCTCTGATAAGGCAGACATTAGACTGACGTGTCGTACTTACCTAGTCTGATAGAGGAGTAAAATAACAGTGATAGCAACAGAAAGAAAGTTGAAATGACGGCGAACGTCACAGCAGTGTGATGTACATTGCTGTCCACGTAGTTATAAGCCGGAGGGCGATAGTTGAAGTAAAGATTGTATCGATCGACTAAATGCTTCATGGCCAAGTAAAGTAAACCTGCGAATAAATAATGAAAACACTGGTTAAAAAAAATAATATTGTGGCGAGCAGTTAAATTCATAAGTTTGGTCATGGCTAAAATCAGAGTAAAACACTGTAAAGAGGCTTTACTGGAAATTGATACAATTACGCCTCGAGATGTTTCACAATCGTGATTGAAGAATCGTTCTCTTCTAGACTGTGTACTGAGTGAATTCGCTGGAAACGGAAGGAGCAAGACAACACATTTTCAACTGCATCCTCAGAAGGATGACTAATCTATAGTTTTGACCCCTATAGTTCTTATTTCTATATGCTCTGTAAGTGGTCTGGCTCAACAGAGGCTCTCACTCGCTCGCTTCGTTCATGGGTTTCGCCGCTCGTGCTCGCAGGCTGTATGCAGTGCAGCCATTATAAACGTTTACAAACGTGACGAAAATGTTTTGCGTGACTTACCAAATGGCGTGACAAGAGGACAGGTGAGGCAGAAAACAACCATTAGAGTAAAGATAACTAACATCCAGGCGTACTGTTGTCCATAAGCAAACTCACGCACGGCTTCCTGGTAAAATAAACAACCCTGGTGTCAGAACAAAAACTTGCATGTAGTACGATTCTTAAGAGTGATAAAACAGGAAGTTTTAGAGATTCATTCCCTGAAAAAAACCGAAAACGGAGGTCTTGTTGACTTCAAACGAGTCCTAACAAAGTTTGTTTCACACACTTCAAAAACCCCGTTCTTCCTCAGTTTTACACTACCCATCTAATACTTTTATGCCTTCCGGTGATCATAAGTTGTTTTTCCTTCAATTTGACAGAAGTCTTGTACGGGGCAAAACCACAAAAAAAAAAAAGGCGACGAAACTGAATATTGCAAGAAGAACAACCGTAACATAGGTCTAAGAGTCCACTGACCTTGCGAACAAGCCTTTTCTCTCCTTCGTTTCGTGCACAAGCCATACTTCCTGCATAAGAGACTAGCTCGGGGAAGCGACACAGTTCCAGCGCGGTTCCAATCAGTGCTGATGTTACAAGATAATTGACAAAGAACGCGCCATTGTTGGGTAAGAATACGCAACTGGAACAGAGAGCAAACAGACGTGGTTAAGAGAAAAGCTCAGTCCTAGTCGAGGATGATGGTAGTCCTAAGAGAAAGGGGGCTCTTTTCAGTGAAAAAAATCGGCGTTTCGACCACCTGAGCGGAAATCATCACTGATCGCAGTCACCGACAATCGCGAGTTCTTTTCAGAACAACCTTTACCCGTAAGATCACAACAGACACTAAATTGTTACTGTCAGAAAACTCCCTTTACTGCCAACTGACAATTCACCTTTCCTTGTGTGTTCTTCATTGTTCAAAACGAGAGGAAATTATTGCATCGAGACAGTAAGAAGTGCTGCTAGGTATAAAGATAAAACACTTGACCAAGTCGTGAAAATATTCCCGTTTTTGCTGTAGCTAAGTTTACTAAATCAGTTAAACTGTTACAAGAGTACACGGGTTTCCATAACCGTCTGTTAGCCGTCTGTTTAGCCTCCGTGCAGGCTCTCGTCTTACTGAAACCCCTGGAGGTGCTCAAATTACTTGATCAAACGATTTCCTTTTGAAGATACGATCAAACCTTACAATATATGTTTTGAAGAAACTTGCTAAACCTGAGATTTAAGCAGACATAACGCTCATATACTTAGGTAAATGTTAGTTGAGAGAATTTGTTATCAGATTGTGTCAATATTTTCCACTCGACAACTTCCCTGATTCTAACTATCGGTGAACTTTATGATGTGTTTACGTGGAGAGGAGAAGTTGCAAATTATTCACCTCGACGGAGAAAAAGGATTAATTTCAGGAACTCTTTTCAATTTCCTCCTTAAAATATACTACTAAGAAAAAAATTAATCGGCATTTTATACTCACGCTAGTCTACTTTGGAATTCGGGCAAACGTCCTCCAAGCGTCAAATGAAACAAAGCATCCGCACTGCAGCAAAAACACAGCAAAAATATTTGAGTAACCGTCCGCTCTCTTAAGTGAAAAACCTAAGTTATCATTTCTCTTGATCAAATTCCAAGTTCCCTCAGTAATTTATCATGATTTCTGTTGGAGCAGCGAGGCAATAGAAATTGGCGAGAAAAATTTTCCTGGCTCAGCCCGAACTTTGGCAGACGAGAGACACTTCATCTTAGGCCCCGAGCCTAATCGGGTGCATGCCTCCCTTCCAACACATTACGCAGCACCGGTCGTCACCTGAATTTTATATTTGCTCGCTTTTGCCAGAGAGCAATGATCCCCCACCTTACCCCTAATAGGGACTAAAGCCCTAACCTTCCCGAGTGGGAAGCGCGATTGCGAGGGTGAGGTGTCTTGCCAATGGACAGAACACAAGGACCAAGGACGAGATGGGCCAGGAAGATTGTCTTAAATACGTCTCAATATTAGCTCACCACGTCACCCAATAATTTTGTGTCAAACTACTGCACAGTTTTCAGTTAAAACACAAGAAAATTTCTAACGAGAAAAGGAGAAGTTAGAGCAGTTAATTAAACGACCAAACTTCCCGAAGCGCGGGAAAATTCGCGTGAACCAGCCGCGAAGGGCATTAGTTTTTGCATCTGATTGGTTGACTCGATTTTTCTCGACAAATGAATAAAGGGGGTACGTTTCTAAAGAAACTGTGGAGCTGCGTCGGTGGGAGAGTATAGCAGAGTAATTTGGTATTATCAACTGAGTTGATAACATGAGTTGGCCACCGTAAAGAGTTTCAAAGCTGACGTTTTGAGTGTTAGCCCTTCGTCATTCGCCCTGAGGAAGGGCTAGCGCTCGAAACGCCCGCTTTGAAACTCTTTACAGTGGCCAACTCATGTTATCAACTCATTTGATAATACCAAATTACCTCGATTTTTCTCGACCAATCCCGAAATGTAGTTATCCGCAAGAAATGCAATCCTGATTCACTTTCGACGTTCAGCTAAAAACTGCTCAAGTACAAATACTCTTCACAATCGAAGCAACGGTGAACTCGGTTTTAACAGTCTTTAAAAAAAAACCACATATCGCTCAGCTTAATTGTTTACCTGGTGAGAGCCAGAGACGGAAGAATAATTAACATCAACATTAAAAAGATATAAGTCTTGACCATCACAGAATGCTCAAGTTTTGACCTGCAAAAAGATAAGATACAACATCAAGGGCTTTCTTACTTCTAGCTACAAACTAAACAATAATGGCCCCTTTGGCTGCCAACAAATAATTTATTAAATTAATATTAAATTCATCAAATTTCTATTGTGCAAATATCAATATAAAATTTTCATTTGCAAGTATTCTCAAGCAAAGGACAACTTATGTATTTCGCAGCTTTTGAATACGCTGAGCCCAGCAACATATGAGTATGTTTATTAAAATACTCATGCCCACATGTCCTTGAGCCAAGCTTTTCATAGCGACTTAGCGTGGTCAAGCATTTGACTCAGAAAAAAAATGCATGTTGATGAAAATATGATTTCTACAGGAACGACATGAAAGATTTTGGAGAGAACTGGTAAAGGTCGGTGCGAAGTTGTTTTACCTAGGGTGGGGGCAGAAACACTCAAAGGTGGCAGGGGCGAACTTGCAATGGGGCAAAACCTCCAAATATCTTCCTCCATACAAGGAATTCACATTGAAACTTTTAATTTAAAACGTTAAACGATTTTAAGGGCAAAAAAGATTCTCATCACGAAGTGCGGTGCTTTAAGAGAGGGGAGTTCCGAAAAAGGCAGTTTTCGGTTGTAGATAGAGTAAGTAATTGGTTGCGAAGTATAATCGTTTGTCTCACGAAAAAGTCGCTTCAGATGTGGGTCTAGACTTTAAGCAGTCCGTTTTAACAAAGGTTTCCATAAGAGGCTGCCGATGGTGTTATCGGCAGCTACAGCCCTGAAAGGAGCCGTAAGGCTAAATCCAAACACGAATGCGGCTCGTAGGCTAAACAGACGGCGGTAAGAGGTCTTATAGTCAGCGGTAGACCGCCGGTAACCGGCTTCCGTCTTGTATCTCCGTGACAAATGGCAAACGGCAAAAAAATGACCTTCCGGCAATTTGCCCTTTAGCGTTTTTAGACCAACTTTAAATATTTGATGAAATGTGAACAAGAGTTTCCACAGGCTTAGGAAGTCTTCAAGATTGAGAGAAATGGTAGTTCACCTTTAACGATTGCTCCTGTATTAAACGTTACGCTCATTATTACTCGCTGTTATTCATCGTAATTACTCGCTTTCAACCGTTACTCCCAAACATTAGCATGCATTTCCTTCAAAATCGTACCGTACCTTGTCCAATGGGCTTCAAAATAACTTGACCACGACACAGCCGCTGGAAGGATCGCCGCAAAACTCCACAGCAAGATAGTGGGCAAGAACTGAGTGAGAAATGGACTCGGAGGGACAGCGAGCTTTGGATTGCTTTTCTCTACGAAAAGTTTGGGAAAGAAAGATAAAAAACGATCACTGGATAACTCTGTAACTTATTTCAGCTTGTTGTCAGAAGACTAAGAACTCTGAAAGAAGTGAAAGGTAGTTCTAACTTTTACTGAAGGATTGAGCAGCACTTTCAAGTAATATTATTCATTAGTCATGTCACTAGTCAGGTGACTAATGCTTTGCACGCTGATAGGCGAGTTCTTAGTGATAAGCGAGTACTATTCACTTCTGAGCAGCCGAAAAGACAAAAATGGCGCGTCAAGACTCTAATTTCCGACAAGTTTCGCAATCAGTAACAGAGATAAATTATCTTTTGCGGTGTGTAATATATGCTAAAACAATAATTCACCTCCACTTCGGTGAATAATTGATTATTATGATGTAAAAGGTCTGTACTTAAAACCGCAGTTTGTAACCTTTTAAATGACAACTACTGAACAATACTTTCATGAGGTACTGACCAAGAAGCTGTAAAACTGAAACAGCTCTCACTTCTCAATTTGTATTTAACTCCTCGTGTTTGTTTTAGCTAAATAATGTTGAAAATACAGTCACCCAAACCTAGACAAGACAAGACAGCCTTCTTTTTTTTTTTCAAGGAATAAACAGTTTGAAAAAATAAACTGCTCACCGACACTGGCCTCCAACTCTTGCAAAGTAGACAGTACCACAGCCGGCGTGGTGATAAATAGGACAAAGATAAACAGCAATGTATTGATAAGAACTGCCCTGACCCACCAACTCTCATTGTCTACGGAAAGGTGTTCCCAGATAATGTCCCCAGCTAATGGAGCCTGCGACACATTCCAGTGGTCTGAAAAGATCCTCCGTGACACAGACGATTCTGGACTTCCATGTCTGATTGTGTTGAAGTCTTTCAGACATCTGCAAGACAGAGAAAAATGAAAAAAAGAGGGGATAAGTTTCCAAAGAAACTGTGGTTCTGCTTCTGTGGGATGTATTGAAAGATAAATTTGTTTATCAACTGAGTTGATAATGTTAACGCCTAAGGCGTGGCCACCGCAAGCAGTTTCTAAAGGTAACTTTTCGGACGTCAGTTCTTCGTCAGAGCAAGGGCGAGCAAAAACGAACTCTGGCGATGGAAGCGTACTTTTTGGCCTATTCAATGAAAAATGACGAATTTGTTGATCACGTCAATTTGAAGGAATATGGCTTTTATGTTAATTTCGGCTAATGTTTATTTACATTTCAAGCGATAATTCGCTCTTTGATTTCAAGCAGAAGTACTTTCTTTGAGACTTTTCCTTCGACGTTTTGAACTGACGAGATTCTCTCTGTTCGGCCAGTCGGACCGCCCTGTTCCCTCTACTGTAAGATAATACCGTAAGCGATAGTCATATGACTGTGACCGCGCTTCGACCAATCACGCAAGCAAAAAATATTCGAAGGATTATAAGGCTGGCCGTCATTATCAGCGGTTTGGCCCGAGGGTTTCTTCGACTGCCCGCGGGAAAGTATGATGCCTGGAGCAGAGTGAGCCGGCGAGAGGTGTACAAGGGGCCTGGCACTGATTAGTGCCAGACTCCCAGCCAGGCTCTCCCCGACTTATCTCCAATCTTCCCGCGGGCGGAATAAAGCGCGTACTGCACACTTATAATCAGAGCTTGCTCGCACGCAAGCAGAATGTTGGCAATGTTGCTGTTATTACTCTGAGAAATTTTCTTTAAAAAAATACATCTTAATATCATCTCGATCAATAAGAGAAAAACAGCATGACCAACATCCGCGCACATCTTAATAAGTAGGTCTGTCACACTAGCTTCCATTAATTTAGAATTGTTGTACCTCTGAACGATCTTTGCATTTTCAAATGTCACAAAAGCTATTCCCAGACTCTTCAGCTTTTGCCTCTGTTGATCAGCTTCGACTTTCCCATCTTCCTCTTCTTCAGTAAAGTACTCAATCCCATCCACGTGACTGGCGCCACAGCAGTGGCAACATGGAGACAGCTTGTTGGTGCTGACTGTGGTTAACGGTCTCTCCCCAGTCTTGCGAAGAAGTTCTTCGCAGTGTTCCCTACCCATCTGAGCGGCAAGAACTTTTCTCTGCGCTTGCTTCAGTTTTACAAAGTCAAATGCAACTTGAACTTCAAGGACTTGTGATTCACCATAGATTTCCCTGGAGAAATGCAAGAGAGATTATGACCTACGATCCAATAGTTTATGATCCAAACGCTCAATGCGAGAGCATATATAAGCCAGGTTTTTCGGTCTCTCTAGATAACTGGAGGTTTCGCCCCATTGCAAATTCGCCCCCAAAATCATTCAACCTGTTTGTAATGGCAGAACAAACTTCTTTTCTGTCAAAATTGTGATACATTTATATCAACATGGATTTTCTTTTTCTGAGTCAAACGCTTGACTGTGAAAGCACGCTAAGTTGCTATGAAACGCTTTGACGTATTTTTACCTTGAAAGAGACAACAAATATTAGTTTGACAAGTTTAGAACACAGGCAATAAAACGATTACCTAGGAAGGAAAACAAATGGCTATGAATGGAGAGAAACAACACCTTTAAACTCAGAAAAAAAACCCAATGAACAGACTTTTCATCAGACTTTTAATCAGTGAATTTGCTCTAAAATCAGTCCCCTCACTGGCCTTTGTTTCCATTTTTCACGCAACACACTATCAGAACTTCACGCATAACAAGGCCAAACAACAGACGCGAAGGAAAAAAAGCTTAACTCTGTCACTCCTGGGATCTTAAAATTGTTCCCCCTCAACGTTTTTTGCATATTTCGTATAATTATAGCTCTGAGAATTTGGTGTGCAATCAAGCTGTATTATGAAATTGTGCGTTTCTTTCTCCTCATCACTTTTGCTTTACAATGTGTTAAAAATAATGAGAGAAATTCTTCATTGGTCACTAGGAGTGAGAGGGTTTACTAGTAACTATACAAATTGTGAGAAGCTAATTTTAATTTTAGGTGAAACAATAATATTCTAGAGGAAAAAAGTTATTAGCGACATCCCAAGTCAACCTTTAACTCTCAGAAGTGATTACCATGTAACTTCTCCCTATAATATCCATACATTATCCAGCAGACAGGTGATAAGAAAACTCAATCTCATCAGATAGAAGTTGTTACCTTGATCTAACACCAAATTCTCACAACTAATTTACAAGAAAATGTGTAGCAGCTCAAGGGGAAAATTAACAATCAGATATTAGGAGTTAAAAGGTTAAACACTCATAACATCTTTACACTTCTCACCGAAAATGTTGCATGATCAAGTCAGCAGTCACATTTTTAGGTACATTGGTCATCATGATTGTCTTCTTGGAATCATCGTGGCTCTCAAATACAAACAGGTTGGTAAAATGCCGCAACACAATCACCATTAACACAGTGTAAATAATTGCAAAAACTGTATGAAGCCAGAAGACGCTGGAGTCAGCCATTAGGTTAGACACTGTTGTGGCACCAAAAGAATTCTTGTTTGGCTCTGGAACCCCAATAAAATACTAAAATTACAATTTCATTGTGCTTCTCCTACTCTTCTCTCCAATTTGGATGTTCAAACCCCGCATCAAGTGATGAAGTTCAACCCTTATGCCCAATTGTTCAATAGGTGAATTATGCTATCAAGCAGGTACCAGTAAGTGATATTATAGTAAAGTTCAGATATAATGCACGCTGTCATTGGTTGAAAGAGCATGCTGATGAAACTGTTGTTTGCTTTGTAAATAGAGTTGGTTTTGAAAATTGAAAGTATTATGTGGGAAATGTAACAGATTTTTTATTATGAAACAAATAGAGAAGCCTTGACTGTGCGCTTTACTGTTCCTGCATGCTTTACAACAGAACAGACCACAGTCAAGGCTTCTCTATTTGTTAAGCAAAAAGTATTGTGCTAACTGCTTGGTCTGTACTCAAGCCAAGTAGCTGCCCAGCCCAAGCAGATCCCGGGTTCCAGAAGTGACTAGGTGTATCACTACCCCAGCCCCCTGGATGGGATGCTTATCCATCACAAGGCTACCCCCCGGCATTTCATCAGGCTCCCTGACAATTCACTGGTACCCATTTATACTCTTGAGTGGAGAGAGACACTGTGATAGGAGAGTGTCTTGACCAAGAACACAACACAATGACCAGGCCAGGTCTGAAACCCAGGCCCTTGGTGTTATCCACACAATGCTTTACCAACATAACTTTATGGTGATGTGTTCTTAGGGTTAAATATAAGTGGCTTCTCATCATCAATGTACAGATTTTGTGACTGAGACTAATTAATCTCAGGATATAAATGGCCTTTGTAGTGACTGTGAATAAAAGAGAATCAGTTGAACAGATTCCATATCTCCCTCTCCCCCCCCCCCCACACCCTGAAAAGAGTTACTAAAACAGAATAATTTAGTATTATCAACTGAGTTGATAATGTAAATTGGCCACTGTAAAGAGTTTCGATGTCAAAATTTCCAGCGTCAGTGCGAATGGTTTAGTATTGGTATTTAGTATTATTAACCTCAGTTGATAATACTAAATTACCCTGTTATACTCTCCCACCAATGCAGTACTAGTTTCTTTAGAAACTTACCCCTTTCATTCCTTACTAAAACAGAAGACATGTACCTAAGCTTCATGTTTCACTCATGGCCCACTTACCATTGGTTCCAGTGTAATTGACTGGTAGGACTATACCAATGGACAGACAGAATATGATCACACTGTAAACTATAAGGTGCTTCTGGAATATTATATACTGAAATGCATCTACACCACACTTCAGACGGATATGCTCATCTGTCACTCTCATGAACACAGGGATCCATGAGAAAAGACCCTGAAAACAAGGATATATTGATGCAATATGAATCAAACACAATATTAATTCAATTTCTTTAAGTGGTTAAAATGGTCAAATTAACTGAAATAATACAAACTAGCTGAATTGCTTCTACTGGTCAAATGGTGAAACAAGCTGATTCGCTTAAACTAAACAAATTGCACAAACTAGGCAAATTGGTTAAAAAGGGCAGTCTCACTGTTGGGCATGTGCATGAAAACACATCAATTCTAAGAATTATTTCAATCATCTGCCATCTTGGATTTCAAACATGATGTAAATATACGGCTTGGAAATCTAGAAAACTGATTACAGTACCCTTGTTTAATGATCAACTAAGTTCCTTCTTGCTATTTATTGAACAAATGAACCCCTATTTCTGAGTAATTTTAAGTTATGGACCCTGAATTAAAACAGATTCTATACAGCAATTGCAAGATTTCACTCCCAGCAATAATTCTACTTTTCACAGCTGTTTTTTTAAGCATGTTAATTGCGAGAAAGCACTCTTTCAAACTTTTTTTTCACTTTTAAAAGAAGCATTTTTTCCTTAGGACCAGCCCATACAATACAATTAAAGAGGCAATGTCAAACCAAGGGACCAAGGATAGCTATTAGATAGAGGAAGTCAAACACCAGTGTTCTAATTTTCAGGCAGTCACTGGTAAAATTTACCACCTGTACCACCTCCTATTACTGCCGAAAATTGCTTGGAATTCTTCAAAATTCAAAAGTTAAAAGGATTGCTCTACCAGTTAGCAAATCCTACTAATCCTTTAACTCCCATGAGTGACCAAGATAGATTTTCTCCTTACAATATCAGACAAGAAGATGAGAAAAAAGTGATGAGAAAAAAGAAAAATACCAATTAGGGGATTACTAGTTGATCTAATACCAAATTCTCCTATCTAACATCACAGGAACTATATCGTGAACAGAAAGGAGAATTACTGATTATATCTTGGGAGATAAAGGGTTAAATTGGTTAAATTTCCTACATGCATAATGCATGTAACAAAATACTAACCTTGCTTTTGACAGCTGGAAATTCAACAGTTTCTGCAGCATTCATGCTACCTTCTTGACTTGCACGTCCCTCCTCAGATGTTTGCCTTGATCCATAGAACATTTCAGTCCATCTAAAATAAGAACCACAACAGTCTCACATGGCTTGCTTTCACTGAATGTTCCTGGACACAACATGACAGTATTTATGTTACTATTATCAAAATCTGTGTCACAGTTGCAAAATGGTTTTTTGAAAAATCAGTGTGCAATAATTGTCCCTTACTATAATTATACTTATATCATACATACCCTTGGTCTTCCTTCTGTATTAGAGCTAGTCTTCCATAATCCCACACAAGTCGGCGAATGACACAGAACAAGATGAAAACAATCTATAACAAAAGACATGATAATTACACCACAGCTCTGAAAATTTTTCTCCAAAAAACCTTGCAGAGTTGAGCAAATTGACATGAAGTAAACAAAAACCTCTACTAAACACTATCAAGGTTGAATTCAATTAACTTTGAATTAAAATGTTTTTTTTTTGTAAAGAGTGCTTTTTTTATCTTATGATGGAAGTTGAAGTAGCTTTTTCTGTAAGTTAAGTTAATGTGCAAATGATCTCTGTATTAAGTAGTTTTAAAAGGTGTTTCAAACTGTGTTCAATTTAAACTTGTAATTAATATCTGTACAATAAACAATACCTTACCACTTGCAGAATTTAATATGAATTTGTCTGCTCCAATCAATTAGTCAATACATGAGAGCCATAACATGGGATAAGATTGTCTTTTAGACTTAGAGCCAGTGGCCCATGTATGAAACAAATGACAATCACCAATGTATTACAAAAATAATAAATGTAATAAAAAAATGAAGTAAGAGAATCATCTGTAATAAACTGTAGTGAATAAAGAATGAAATATAATAAGATTGCAGATATTACAGTATACCAATGGCTAAAAATAAATGAAGCCATTAGTTTTTTATATTAACTGTTCAGTGGATTCTTTCAACATAAAAGTTTTGGAAATTACAGCCAAAAAGTAATCTCAAAGTCCGCTTTTTCCCAAAAAATAAAACAGTACAACCCCACACTTTGACACCAATATCCAACCCCTTTATTTTTGCTTTCGTCAACTTTTGATAGGTCACTTGTTTTGAACTCACAAATGTACCAAAAGAAATGTGCAGGTTTAAAAAATTAAGAAATGTTAACAAAAGCTATAATATTAAGTATGAGAGGCAACAGTTATATTTATAACTGACCTTTAGGTTTGAGAGACCAAATTACATTAATTGCAGAAAATGCTGAAATAAGGCAACTGTTCAATATTAAGAAAAAGCTGATTCCATAAATGTAAAGGCTAACTCATATAATAATCTTTTGTTAATATTTCTCACTCAAAGATAAAATGCATACATCATCAATTTACTGACATGTCTGGAAAAATATATTGACCTTGTCAGTAAATGTATTTGTAGGAGATGATATCATTATCACTTTTCAAACACAAAAGAAAGGAAAACATTGCAAAGAATTCCATATATCATAAGACACACCCTGCGTTTGACATCAATTTTCCTTAAGAGGAGAATTTTTTCTGGTGCATCTTCTAACCAAATAACAACTGTACTTTGAAAAGAAAAAATAATTTCTCATATTGTCGGGTTTATTTTTGTTATTTTTTACCTATAGCTGACCTCACTTCAATATAAAATGTTTATATTACATGAAAAAAAAAGAGAAAAGAGAAAAGCTCAATTTCATCTTTCACAGCTGCCAGATATCTTTTTTCAAAACCAAGGAACTTGTAGTAAAATTAGCAAATTATATGATGGCATTTCAGAACCATGCAGATAAAAATAAGGAAAGCATTATCAAATCATGTTCACAGCAATTTTCAATAGTCAAAACAATTTGAAGGGAAATAAATCTTTTGGCTGTATTTCCTAAGTATATACAATAACATTGATACCAAAAATTAAAGTACACTTGTAAATATGCATGAAAAATCTGAACCGACAACTCCCTAAAGAAATTTATTGTACATCATTAAGAGAAGAATATATTTTGATGCATGTTTCGGCAAACAAGTAATAACTCACAAAATTATTTTTGCATAATGAATGAACAGTAGCCGGCATAATTCACCTGCTTCAATTTCAACAACAAAGGAATCGAATAGTAGGGAGAAGTCTTTTGGGACAAAGATTTGAAAAACTGCCCGCTTTCTGAACCAAATTGTCTGATATTCTAACCAATGACCGCATAAAATCGCTATTTTCAATTCTAATTTCGATGTAAAGGAGTACTTAACATAATATTATGCAAGTATTATGCTTAGTACATCAAGTAGAGAGACGAGCAGGTTGAAAACACATGTAGGACTTACAAATCACCATGCCCATAATATAATTTGTCAACTTACTGCTGCAGAATGATCATCTATCTCCATCGGAAAGAAGTTTGAAATAATTTTCTGCTTCCCTAAAGTTGCAGTATTTGCAAGGTGTTCGGGAACAGAGAAAGTGATTGTTTTTTTTTTGTTATTAAATCCTACGCGCGGCTGCCCGGTCGAAAGGTCGAAAAATGTTGTCTCACACAAAAACAAATCTCAGAATAAATACTTTCAAATAAAACTAAAAATACAAGAGAGCTTGTCAGACTACCATTCGGTGAAATTACTCAGAATCGGGCATCGATACAACGACCTCCAATCTGATCTAACGCAACTGTCAATATGAGCGACTACATTTACATGCTTTCGTTTTTCATTTTCATCAGACCGGATAGTTTTAATAAAAGTAATAGAATGTACAGCAAGGCAAAAAATTAAGACAATAAAGCACAGTATAGAGATCAGACACGACGCTTACCATCCATCCTAAGATATTCAACCCAAAATTGACGGGAATTCCTCCATCTTTTGCCATGTAATTTATCAACAACTGCCTCTGTGAGGAATTTGCGTTTACATCTTTTACGTCGTAACATTTCGGTATAATATGAGTTTTGTTCCCAGCGTCCTCATCAAATTCAAGGTAAAGGTTTGCCATACCACCAGCTTCAGCTAGAATCCACGTTAAGGAAAAAGGCTTCTAACGAAAATTAAGTCTAGTGAGGTGATGCAGGCAGAGACATGCTTGGTCCGCCATGTTTGGGAAGACCCGCCTTTTAGCGAGCAATCTGCTGACCACATAAATCTCTGGGTGACACATTGGGCGGTAAAAAGGCGCATAAAAAGCAGATAACTGGGGAATGAAGAAGTATTATAAAATAATTCAAATAGTACGCGCGCTTTGATTGGCCATAAAACCATTTTACATGAGCGTATGTAGACACGGTTTTCGTTCCTCTTTCATAAGTTATTTTATAAAATAAATGTAAAATGGTTTCCTTGTTTACATAGCTTCGCGTCGTGGTTTCCTACGCTTATCTCGTGTTCTCCCAACCTCCCGCGTGTTTACATCAGGCTATGTAAACACGGAAACCATTTAACATTTCTTCAATCTAAATCGTGAACGAACCTGATTTTTGTTCCCTTTTGGATTGTACGATTCCATATAATCTACCAGTTTGAAAGAAGGTCATCTGGCTCCGCTCCTATCAGTACAGGACCCCTCTTCTGCTTGGCTTAAAGAACAAGAGCAATATTTATATTTCTTGGATTGAGGTCGTTATTATTATTTTTAATGCAAAAATTTTAAATAAAGAAAGTTTTTCAGAAATTGGAAACACTGCAAATAGTGACTTAGGGGGCCAGCAAGACCGTGGAAGCCTCATCGGGCGTGGGGGGTACGGGTATCTACGCTATCAAGAGAAAATGATGATTCTCTCGTTATGTTATCTATTTACTTATCCTGCGAGGAGGTGATTCCCAAATTTCTGTTGAACTGAGATCCTCAGTGCATCAAGTCCCCATAAATTGCAAAAAAAAAAAAACATTAAAATGGCATCTTTCTTGTATCGCCCCATCAATATCCAAGTCCCTAATGATACGATCACTCTTTCATTAAAGCTACATTGTCCTTGGAATCCCATAATCCCAACGTTTGTAAATTGGCATGATTGTAACACCTATTTCAAATGTTTTATCGTTGTTATTGACTTTTTTATTACTTTTAAAAGAATTGTACTGCAAAGCCTCGGAGTCAAATTTTTTTCGAGTATATTCAATAAATAATTCAAACTATTTTCCAAAAATTGAAGTTAAAATCCTAAAACGCGCCCGAGTTATTGGGAAAAAGGCATTTTTGTTTAAAAGTTTTATAAATCATCAACGCGTCATAATCTCCGTTAGGCGTAAATTTTCGTGGCAAACAGCTTCACCGGGAGATCATGCTTCATCTCAACTTTGTTCACATTTGCTTTTGAAAGCTGTATTTTTCCAAAGTAGACGGAGTTTAGTACTGGGAATGAACCTTTAGAATACAGAGTGGAGTCGTTTAGAATCACATAGTGAGCGTTTCGAATTCAGAGTGAAATTTTAGAATTTGGAGTGAGCTTTTAAAATTTGAAGTAAGCTTAGAATTCGGAGTGAGCTCTTCGAATTTGGAGTAAAGTTTGAGAATTGGAGTGGAATTTGTAAAATTGGAAGTAAAGCTCATGCACGAATTCGAATTAATTCAGAGTGAGCTATTAGAATTGGTGGTGAATTTAAAATGTGGGAGTTTTCTTTGGAATTCTGAGTTTGTTTGTTAGCCACCATTACAACACCATGCAATTTTGCTTATAGTGAACTTGCTGGAAACGCTCCGAAACTGTTTTATCGCTCCGACTGTCTTATCTTACCACCATTTTGGACTTCAGAATAGCAATCGCTAAAATAAGCTACTTGTGTCAATCTTCAACGAATCACACGAACTTGAGAGATTGGGTAACCTGTGCAGTCACTACAAACAAAACTTTGGATAGGAGCCACAGCAAATCTTTCTTTCAAGAGAATGAAGGCGAAACGGGGATCAAGGTGCATTAAGGTCTTGGTTTAGAAAGAGAGGTAGAGTCGAGTCGCTACAGATTGAGACCGCGTTGTCAGGGAAACTGAGAATATCAAAATATCAGGCGGAATCTCGCACTGATTCTGTAATGCTGAGATCGCAAATTTCTACGTCCTAGCAATTTCTCAAGTCGTTAAGGCGAAGACTTTTTTCTTTCATTCAGCAAATTTATTTTTTTGCCTCCTCAAGTGCTTCCCTGCACTAGTGCTTGCCTCCGCTAAGCGCTTGCCTGCGCCAGTGCTTTCCTCCGCTAGCGCTTGCCTCCGCTAAGCGCTTGCCTCCGCTAAGCGCTTGCCTCCGCTAAGCGCTTGCCTCCGCTAAGCGCTTGCCTCCGCTAAGCGCTTGCCTCCGCTAAGCGCTTGCCTCCGCTAAGCGCTTGCCTCCGCTAAGCGCTTGCCTCCGCTAAGCGCTTGCCTCCGCTAAGCGCTTGCCTCCGCTAAGCGCTTGCCTCCGCTAAGCGCTTGCCTCCGCTAAGCGCTTGCCTCCGCTATGCGCTTTCATCCTTAGAAAATTGTCCTTAAAAAATGTATCAAGTTAAGCCTGTTCAGCAGGCTACTGTAAACTTGGCTACCATATTTGTACCTTGTCGCGCGCGACTGAGATCTAACCCGATTCGATTCCTTAATGGAATGAACAACGGATTTAAATTTACCTCGCTCCAAATAGGTGGCTACGTAGCCTAGTTGGTAATAGTTCCCAACCAGTAACTGGGAGGCATGGGTCCGAATCCCATCAAAGCATGATTTTACATGCATCTTTTCTGCAACTTTTTTTAATTGTGGATGAAGACATCATCTTACTCAACATTCAGGGGGAAAATCAAAGCGTTTGAAAATAAATTCCATTACTATTTGATGTCTTTAAGAAGCAAATAAAACAAATGAAATATATTTTCTGATTAACACTTAACAGGGTTGTCTGATATGAAACCTAGACGTTACTAAGACAACTAAACTTTATTTTCTTACTCACGCATGCGCGTGAACCATAACCAAACCATAACCACTTGCGTGTCGTTATCTCACCCCACGCTCCTTACGCAGCAAAAAGAAGGGGCGGTCTACGTTTCGTTTCCCACGATCAGCTGTTGGCTTAAGATTCAATCCACGATCGCTTTGATTTGTTTCATTTCCTTCAGGAGGTTTTCCAAACAAAGCAACATAACACTGGCAATTTCGAAACAATCTTAACCCAGATTAGTGGGTCCCGATGTTATCTCAAAATATTTTTAATACACAAAATGACTAATAATTTTAAGTTTGATCTTTAAAATCGTTTGTATTCCAAGCTTCCGTTTATAAACAATGCTGAACTGTTTTTAATCGGCGAAAGGAACGCAAGTTTTTGCTGAATTTGAAAAAACTTAAAGAACTTTTTATCGATATTAGCATCAGCTCAATTTGGAAAGAAAAATTTTCCTCGATTTCTGGAAAAAATTGATCTCACGAGGTTTTTAAGGACTAATCGAGAATATCAACTGACAGAATAAATTGTTATCAAAGTCTCACGTTTTCTTTTTTCACTGATTGCAATTAACTTTAATTACGAAATGCCGAAAAAGAAGAACTTTTAATTAAACCGAGCAGATCTCTGATCTGAAGTAATCAGCCAATGGTAGAATTATCCGAAGAATATTTGATAGTTATCAGACTTCGCACAGTAATCTTAATTCTCTGCGCCGAACTAATAGAAAGTAACTCTTCCATGAACAATTCAGCAAATTCTCATTTGAAAACCACGCGTGTTATAATTGCACGACAATTAGTTGAAAGTTGAAAAAAGCGCACGCGAGCTGTAAAAATCGGCCATTCGATTAAGACGCATCTTTTTATCATAACTTAGTAAGCTCAATTTTCGGGTCAAAGACACTTACGGTCTTACTTTATTATCCGTAGATTAAGGAGCTGCTAATCTGGCTTATATCTCTCGCATTTGTAAACTAATCTTTGACAAGTTTTCGAGTTGTTTTGTGTATGGTAATTATTCTCCGGTTGAGGACATAATTTGATAACAAAAGGTCCAATTATTTCGGCGCGCACATCGCTGTAGACCGCAAGGTTGGTTTTTGAAAGGTGCACAAATCTGCATTGTTTCTAACCGCATGTCCGCGTGTTTTTAAAAAAAGAATTCTTGATAGAGTACTAGGTCACTGATAAAGCTTCTGTTAGAGTTTTACGAGCAAAAACGCGAACATTAAGAAGTAAGGAGTCTCTCAAAGTAATAGATCACAGGTGTATCCCAGCGGGGAGTCTCTTTTTGTTGTATTTTCTAAGTTGGACTTCGTCTGAATCTCTTATGCGGGAAAGTGGCAATATACATCTTATGATATTTGATCTTGCTACTTTTAAAACCTGGTAAGTTTTGCTACTACAATTTGTTTTTTCATCGCGATGTGTTTAAAAATGTTTAATTTTTTGTATGATACGTGTCAAAGAAATCACTTTCTGCCATTTGTACTGTAGAAGATTTTGGCTTTATACCTTAGCTGTCTTTCTAAATTATAAATTGATTGCCGATAGCTATGGACAAAAAACGTAAGTGGCATTTCATTTGAAGACTTCATTTCAAAGGGAAAAAGTAATCCGATGTGTCGAAAACGCGTCAACTTTAGAGCTCTTTTTCTTTCTCTCATTTCGTACAATTTGCATATGAAAGGAATTGTCAAGTGAGCCTGAAGCATTTCGCAAATTTCGGCTTTGCGGAAAAGAAGAAGGCTGATTTATTTTAACACGGTGTAGAATAAAACATGCCGGAAAAGGAGAAATGTTGCTAAAATCAATTTACTTAGCTCCTCGAGGGACAATTTCCACCTGTTTATTTTATTTTATTTTCTCGTCGAGAGAAGCAATATACCGAGACCAATTTCAAACAAAACGACTCGCCTTGAACATTTTTACGTCATTTTTTCTTGCTTGCAAATATGATATGGATTTAATGCTTTTAAATTGCAATTTTCTTGTTTCAAGGTTTCCAAGTTAGAATAAGATATTACATTCTGGCAAACGAGTGCTTTATTTTACTACAAAGGCAGGATATACAAGGTATGGGCAACCATTATTTTTTGGTCTAACATTTTACTGCTCAGATTTCCCTCTTTTTTTTCAAGAGCTGTTTTTATTTGTGGCGAAGGGAGATTCATATCGACTCACATCTCACTTTAGACAT